GCAAGGGATACACGACATTGCTTCCCAGATATCTAGGTTTCAAAATCAAATAAATGCATTAGTCCACCGCATACATCAGCTTACTGCAGAAACTGCAATTATCTATCCAGCATGACTACACCAGTAAACTTAGCTAAAATATATTATTCTCCATGCCTTAAATTTTGGGTGTAATATGAAAATCAAAAGATGAATACACCACCAACAGCATGATTATTCCTCATAGCGTAGTGTTTATTACTTGTACGGATACAGCAACTAGTAAGAAATGTCCATACCACTTATCAACAAAGAAAAAAAAGAGTATTTGTAGCCATATCCATTTCAAGCTAGGTATCCAAAAATGAGTTCAAAGAACCTACTTCCCAATATCATAGACCTATTTCTAACCTATATTAGAGTATGCAAATTTGTTACATAAGCTTCCACCAAATTTTTGATGCACAGAGATCAATTAAAACTTAAAATATTCTTTAGGATCCAGAAAATTGATAAGTCTGTCAAAAAATCAATATGAATCTTGCCACATACTTATTTTATTAGCTGTACGTGTAGACAAACAACCGACCAACTAACTGCACTACTTAAACAAACCTTTGTTCTACTTAGGAGACTACAGGTAGCAATTCCAAATGACATTACCTCAACTTTGGAATATCTTTCTACAGCCTTCTTTGCATCAGCAGCAGAAGCATACCGGAGGAAAGCAAACCCCTTGTTCTTTCCTGTTTCATGATTTATCAACAATCTTACATCCACAACCTCACCAACCTCACCAAAGATACTCCTAATATCCTCTTCCTTTGACTCCTTGCCTAATCCCCCAATGAATATCTCTGTCCTCCGCCTCTTTTTCCGTTCTAATGCCTCCATTTCCCCACTCAATAGAATTCCTTCATTCAACCTCAGACTAGTATCCACAGCTTCCTTTGTTTCCTCTCTGCCTTGACTGTACCCTTCCTCTCCCAACTGAACCAAATTTTGATCCTTACTCGAATCCACATTATCACTAGTAGAAACATTAAGACTATTTTTTTCTGAATCAAGAACTACAATTTGTGTTTCAAGGGAATCCATATTATCATTCTCAACAACACTATCTTTGCATTCCAACATGCAAGCCTCTAATGTGTTTTCAGTTGCACCAAACTCACTAACACACTCAGCCTTCTCAACTTCCATCGGATGTAAACTATGTTTCTTTGACTCCTCATTTTCAGCTGAAACATCCTTACAAGATTCTAGGTTTTCAGTTTCTGGAGGACTAGGTTTAGATTTTTCAACGCCTGCTGAATCCATTATAGTTTCTGCATCCCCATTGTTGCTACCTTTCACCAATTCTTCCTTTTTTTCCCTTTTCCTGGCAACAAGTTTGGGCACTTTCTTCTTCACAATCTTCTTGACAATCTTTACCGGACGAAGATTACCTTTTTCTGAATCAAGAACTGTGTTTCCTGTCTGGAGTGAACCTATATTGTCCTTGGCACCTTTATTTTCTGAAATGGGAAGCTGTAATTTACCTTCGTTTACACTAACCTCAGAGTCCATCATTCTATCCTTTCCTAAGATACCCTCAGCAGCAATAGTACCTTTCCCAACTTCTACTGGATGAAATGTGCCCTTCTCAAAGTCACCACCCTCACTAACTGCAGCAGCATTACAAGGCTCTACATATACAGTTTCTAGTTCAATTGTGCCTCGAGAGTTAGCTTTTTTAACATCTAATGAATCCAAAACAGTTTCTGCGTCAGCAATTTCCCTGCCTTTTTCTGATTCCTCAGTCTTTCTACTGTTCTTTGCAACGGATTTGGGCACTTTCTTCTTTACAATCTTCTTGACAATCTTTACTGAACGGAGATTACCTTTTTCTGAATCAACAACTACATTTCCTGTCTCAGGGGAACCTAGATTGTCCTTTGCATCATTACATCCCAAAATTGGAAGCTCCAACTTATCTTTAGCTACAGTAACCTCACAGTCCTTCATTCCATCCTTTCCTAGCATAACCTCAACAGCAATAATACCTTCCTCAACTTCTTTTGGCTGAAAATTGTCCTTCTCCGAGTTACCACCCTCACCAACTGTAGCAGCACTACTAACCTCTAAACATACAGTTTCTGGTTCAATTGTGCCTCGAGAGCTAGCTTTCTCAACATCGAGTGAATCCAAAACAGTTTCTGCGTGGCCTTCTTCTGATTCGTCCGTCATTTTGCTGTTCTTTGCAACAGATTTGGGCACTTTCCTCTTGATAATCTTCTTAACAATCTTTACCGTCTTTTTCACCACTTTTTTCTTACCACTCTGCCCTACTTTCTGCTCCCCAACAGCTTTAATTTCCACTGTTTTTGGCGGCGTGCCTTGGTCAGCTTCATTCAACTCAACTCCGGTTTCCCCAGTGTTTGTTTCTGGAACTTGGATGCTCAGAGATTGCTCCGGATGCTCACTGATTTTAGAATTTGTAGAGTAGGTCATCAAGGGAGAGGATTGATTGTCTTTTTGAGGCGATGGGGAATCGGTCACGGCGGTGGAAGTGGATGGAGGCGGAGAAGGTTTCTGGCCGGCGGATTCGGGAGCAGATTTTCTGGCGGACGATCTGGTGCGGCCCCACCGCGACGCGGAGGAAGCTTTCGGCGGCATTGTAGAAACAGGGGAAGGGGAAAACTCACTTGTTACCGTACAGGCGAAATTTAACCAAAATACTCGTTATATTTTGGTGTCTTTGCCAAGATTTTGGAGATTTATTTTCTTTGGATATTAGTATTAAAATAGTTTGATGAATTACTAGTATTATTTTTTATTATTTTATAATATATAATAACGTTTTATATTATTGTTACTTTTTTCGTAAAAAAAATAGTATCATAGTTTTAAATCCAATGTTAATTATAGGTTGCGTTTGTACTTCAAATCAAATCACATAGAAATATATTGTAAAAAAAAATCATTTTTGTGAAATTGAAGTCATATTAAGTTTATATTAAAGAAAAAGCTATTAAAAAAATTTAACACCCAAAATTAAAGCTCATGTGCCTTCAATTTACAAAGAAGTAGCTCAATCTTTGTCTATGCATGCAAAGACATTATTTTTTATTTGGTCAATTATACTTTTTATGAAAGATTGTTTCGTAAATTTCATTAGATAAAGGGGTATTAAATGGGTGGAATAGATTGAAATTGAAAGTATTGAAATGGGTTTATTAGAAATCGAGTTGGATTTTGATCCATCCAAGTTTATTTTGTGCTCGATGGGTTGGGTTTAAATGGGCTAAAAAACGAATTGGATCTTGACCCGCCCAATTTAACCCGATTAATCTCAATAATTTAATATATTTATATTTAACTTTTATAATCACAATTGAATTTTCACCCAATTTTTTGTTAAAAAAGTAACAAAGAGATAGATAAATCCTTAAAAATGTTAAATAAATAATAATTCATACCTTCAATATTGGAACATATCTTAGTAAAAAAAAAATTAAAAAAGTTTAAATTAGAGATTGAATTGGCTCAATTGAGAATTATCTTCAAATGGGCTAAGCTTGAATATGTTGAGAATAAACCCAACTCAAATTATCTTGAGTCCAACCATTAAAAATTTGAGCGGATTACTATATTTGGGTTTAATTTTGACACCCTAAAGTGAGATGCACCCGCAAGGTTGTCTATAATCCTACTCAATACCTCTAAAGTTAACTTATGGACACTTAGGGACCATTTGGTAGACTACATTAAAATAAATAATCCATATATATTAGGTATGATATTATTTAATGCTATTAAATTTGATAAAAAATTAGGTTTATATATAATTAATTCATAGCTTAATATATCTCCTACATGGTGTTATATGATGTATTACTAATACATTCCATTTGGAGGTATTAATAACACAAGATATAATATCATGGGATAAATCTATGAAAAGATAAAAATATTCCTTCAATTATTTTAATTATTTTGTTTATTTTTTTTATTTAATGTTTTATATTTTTTCTAATAAATTTATTTAAATAAATTAGCTTATAAATTATTTAGAGAAAGTTGTTTGACTAAATAAATCCAATACAAATTAATACAATATTTGAAATGTGAATTGTTTAACATTTAAATAATTAAAAAGAGAAATATATCATCACGTGACGTTTGTGATCTTACGAATATATTATTTTTGTGTGTGTGTGTATATATATATATATATATGTGTGTGTGTGTGTGTGTGTGTGATTTTCTAATTATTTGTATTTTAAACAATTTATAAAATTGCATATATACTAAAACTACAACTTGCTATTTTTATGTGTAAGTGTAGATGCGATTTATTCAATTTTACTATTGTTTATCGCTGTTTCAATTTTAAACAAGTTGATATTTTGTCTTTTTTTTTAAAAAAAAAAATGAAAATTGACAAGGTAAGTAATCAATTTACTAAGATGACAATTATTTATCCTCAAATAATTTAAATGAAAAAAAAAAAGACAAACATGACAACAAAATTGTTTTTCTCATAGATAGTTAAAAGGCCACAAAAAATAATATTGTCCTTCAATTATTTACCTTAACCCAATTATATAATAATTCTAGAGTATAATTGAAAAAAAATATTTTATAAAGTTTTTCACACACAAAATGATGTAGGAAACAATCAACCAAACAATGGAAAGCAAAACCTCTCTATTAATTCCTACATTTTAATTTCTGCATTATTAATTTTTCTACAAAGCGACTCCTTAAAATCTTCACGAACATATTTTTACGAATTTCACAATGTCTCTTAAATTTTCCATAAAATCCCTCTTAAAGATGGAAAGAAGTGATTATGGAATTTTTCATTGCCTTGCAAAAAGGAAATCATCATGTCCTCTAAACAAGAATCTAGGAAAACCACAAATTAAAGAAACTCAAATGGAAAACCATCAAAACCAAAAAAGGAATCATTCCCTTGTCATGTTTTTGCTTCTTATTTTTTTTCTTATATAAAAACAATCATGTTTGCCCTATATATAAGAAGTGAATTTGAGAGTAGCACAACTTAAAAACCATGACATTGGTATAATAGAAGCATAAATATACAAAGCTACTATAGTAATTCAGAAGAAATACACTTACATGATGGAAAACAAATTACAAGGTCATTTTGAGCCAACTTGTGAATGGCAACATCAAGATGGAGCTGATCTTCTCTTGGTCCATCTCCCAGGTAAATAATACAGCACAATTAGTTACTATTTCGAAAAAATTATACCATATATACAAGTACAAAGTGTCTAAATAATATATTTTGAACACCCTAAACACAACAATATGATATAACCTATATGATATAACCTTATGGTTGCAGGCATCTTGAAAAGGTAATGATATCTTGAAATAATATTTCCTTTTTTTTCACTTTTTAATAAAAAGGAGGTTCACTTGAGCACTTGAACAATGAAATTTCTGACTCCATCGTCCGTCGACAAAATTATTGCAATATATATCCTTTAATTGATTTTTTTTTTCTTTTTGCATTCAAGAATTCAAGGATAAGGAAGGATTGAAGGTACAAGTTAGCAATTGTGGAGTTGTAAAGATTTCAGGAGATGTACAAGCAAACCAAACAAGATTAAGTTTTCTCAAAGAGATTCAATTAGGAAAGGATCATAATGTAGATGCTATAAAGGCCAACTTTGAGAAGGGTGTTCTCAAAATTACAGTGCCAAATAAGAATACAAATGAAGTATCAAATAAATCAAGATTCAAGAAAGTCAAAAAAGTGGCCTTGGGTGTTGTAGCTATCGTGGTTGTAGTTTCTGCTTTCTCTGGATTTGCTTACTACATTTATAGGTCTACAATTGTTAAAGACTAATATAATTGAATTTACTCCTATTTCTATAACATTATTATTATTATTATTATTATTATTATTATTATTATTATTGTTATTATTAAGAGTATGCATGATACAATGGAAATATTAAAGAAGTTCATAACATATTCCGATATTTTACTATTCCTGCTCTATTTCTCTTTCATCCCAATGAGTTGCTTTTTGTTTACTACACAACTAAGATTTAAACATTTGAAAGAGAAAAAAAACACTAAAATAATTAATTACAATCCTTCAATTTTCAGTGTGCACAAGTAGACACTTTAGCTTGTTTATAATTGAACAAATAGATATATATATCCTACGTGATACGATATAATGCACATATGACGTCTCTTAGTAGACAAAATTGTCATGTAGGATATATCGATAGGATGACTGTGTTTATTTATTTAATAATTTTTATATAACTTAAGTGTCGACTTATACATAATTAAAATTAAATAACGTAAATATAAATTTAAACTAAATTAAAAAAAATGTTTTTTTTATATATATATAGGTGAAACTAGAAACATTGACTTAAAGAGAAAATTAATTAGAAATGGATGTAATACATGTTGATTAAACTATTAAAGTTGCTTGCAATGTATTTTTGTGTAGTATGATAGAAAAAAAGTGGCAAGTTTCATGGCAGGAGAGAAGGGGGAAGTAATAAAGGAACATTGACAAAAACAAGAAAAGAATTTATTAAACAAGATTTATGCCAGCTTTTACCATTAAACATATACCCCCTCTGTCTTATCTTTATATATATATATTAACATAAATATGTTTTTGACAAGATTAAATATTCTATTGATAGTTGTTTGTAGCTTTTAATCTATTTTAATTGAACTGTCCTGTTCTTAGCTTGGTTCTTGCTTAATGAGTCCCTAATTTGTTTTTAAATTGGATTAAGCGGCAATAAAAAGATCATGATGTTCTTCTCCTTCAATACCAATGGATAACTATAATAGGGCTGAAATGCTTTTTTTTTTTTTTTTATATCATATGTGGATTACTTTATTTATTACTAGGATAGCAAACTTGTCTTTTATTTCTTTAAAATTTAAATTAGTTATTATTTAATTAAAGAAAAAAGATTAAAATATATTATTAAATTTTCAGAAAAGACTTATTTATGTCATCTGTTAAAAGTTTGACTCATTTATGACATTATCGAATAAAGAAAAAGTTCATGTCATTATTTTTTAACAATAATTTTTACAAAATGATTTTGGATAATTCGACCAAGTCATCAATTTAATTAATAAAAAAATAAATTATTAATTGATTGAATTTTTATTCAAAATTTTAATTTTTTATTTAAAAAATTGATGACGTGGCCAATTATAATTCGGCCACATCATCAAATTTTTAAATAAAAAAATTAAATCAATTTTTTTATTTAAAAAATTCATGACATAATCGAATTACGATTGGACACAGTGTCAAAAATAGTTTTGCAAAATAACTATTAAAAATATAATAACATTGAGCTGACCGCAGGCGGAATCTTCAATAATTAGCAAAGCGACAGTGATGAATGTCAAAGCCGATATTTAAGGGAAAAAGCAAGGCTATTTCCGTTAATAAACTTACAAATACAAATACAAATACAACTACAACTACAACAGTTACATTTCTCAGCTGTCACATTTATATCTTCTCCTCTTCCACTCAGGCTCACAGCAAAACAAAGCTGAGAGATACGGATTTCAAACTCAATAATGCAGGTGAGTTCTCCATTTTTCTTCAACTGTTATCTCTTTCTCTTCTCTCAGTGATGAATTGATTTTTTGTACTTTCAGGAGGTAAGAACAGTACGAGTGGGTAATGTATCAGATCTGGCAGCTGAGAGAGAGGTTCGCGAGTTCTTCTCGTTTTCCGGCGAGATTGACCACATTGAGATTCGCCGGTCAGTAGTTTCACTGGTATTTGAGTTTTGGATAATGTATATTTGAGCTTAATTATTTCACTGATTTTTGCTGTTGAGTGCAGAGAACAAGGACAATCCAAGACTGCCTTTGTTACATTTAAAGATCCGAAAGCGCTTGAAATTGCTTTGTTGTTGTCGGTAATTTTACTCTCTTTTTTTTTCCAAAGTAATTCTATTTCTAGTCTCTATTTCCATAACCGTGTATGCTTTTATCATCCAAGCGATTCCTACTTCCTGTGCACCGTGGTCGAGAATTACAGAATCAGCTACATGTAACTCTTTAAATTACAATTGATTGTAACTTGGGGAAAGGATAAAAAAAAAATGCTATAATCTGTTAAACTACAATGGAATGCAATTTTAGTTAAAACTTAAGTATTAAATCATGTTTTTTGTTGGTGGAGTAAATTATTTAGCGGCATCGCAGGAAGACAGTGTGTAGGAGTGGAATAAACTCACAGAAATTTAAGGGGTGAAGGAACTAGGAAATAAATTTAAGACTCTGTTTTCTTTAGCTAATCGTTTGTCTGATGGAGAAAAAAGTATTGGTGGATTTTAACGTTAAACATGAAATATAGGCTCAACTATACAGCATGTATTTTTCAGCATTTCTTTTGGTAATTGAAGGGTTAACAATTTTTCCAACTGTTACATGTATCTTTTTGGGTTTAAAAATAACCTGATGATATTATAAATGTTTGATATAATTTATATCTTGATGAAATATAATGACTAATAAGTGTATATATAGTTACATCCTCTCCTAATCTGCTTTTAGCTTTTGGCCAATGACTGATGAGGCATACTTGACAATGTTCCTATTGATTGACTTATTCAATACACAGAATGAACGAATGATTCTCCTAGTTTTAAATTACTACGGTACATCAAAATTTTGATATGCCATTGTTGTTTGAAGAATAATAAGCACATGGAAATTGGTTTTCTGTGTATTTACTGCTACTGCTTTGTTGAATTGTTTGCTTGTGAGAAGTACCCTTCTGATTCTACTCATTTTGCAGGGAGCAACCATAGTGGATCAGATTGTAAGTATAAAGCAGGCAGAAGACTATGTTCCATCATCTGAGACTCGGGTAACTACATAGACAAGTGTGGAAGTGTTATCTCTATTCATATAATTGCAAATATCGGTTATTGAAGTATAAAAATTAGGAATATCGATATTGACAATTCATTTAGTCTACTCATTGCTTCCAGGAAGTCAGGATAGTTGATAATGCTGTGAATGTTGCTGGAGAAAGTTCTTCTCCGCTTGCTGAGGTAATATAGTAATCCCTCCCTCTCTCCCATTTTATGTGACACTTTTCGGATTTCGAAATTCAAACAAGTCTATCTTTGACCGTAAATTTTTCATAGATCTTTTAAACATTTTAAATTATCAATTGTGGTGACTTATAGTACTTTTTATGTAGTTTACAAATATATAAATTCATTCAAAAGAATTAAAGATTCCATGCGCAAATTTTCGGTCAAACTTAAACTACTTGACTCTTGGAAAACGAAAAGTGCCACATAAATTGGGACAAAGGGAGTAAATCAAATTGGTGGATAATTCTTCCTTCAAGTTATTAAAAAGTTGGGCATCTTTTTTTATTTTTTGATGACAAGCGAAATCCATAGCCGCTACCCTTTGGGTGTGCACGGGGTAAAACCCATGCTTCTATGCAATAGCTCGCAAACCACACAAGAGAGGTAACCCGCACCAAGCAAGCCTGGTGCGACCCTGCTTTCGCTGGCAAGGGGTTTGAACTTGAGACCTCCAACATGGAAGTCCCAAGCCCAAACCCAAACCACTGGGCCACTTGGATATCTTTTGTCCACAAGAACATAAAAATTGTTGTCTCTATACAGATCATTTAGATATGGAAGAACCATTGCATGCATTTTGTGGTGTAGGATTCATGTATTATGATCTGCGCTTTGCAGGCATATATTTGTTTTCGACTGTGTACTTATTGTAGGCTCTTTTGGCTTTATAGTAATCTGCATTACTTGTATAATCTCTTGACACTTGTCTCCATAAGCAGGCCAAACCTACTTCTCCTAGCAATGGAAGGGTGAACGGGAAAGTATATATCAGTAAAGCCCAAGATGTTGTCTCAAATGTGTTGGCGAAAGGTTCAGCTATCAGACAAGATGCAATGAATAAAGCCAAGGCATTTGATGAGAAACATCAGCTAAGAGCCACTGCATCTGCTCGAGTCATTTCCTTTGACCGAAGAGTTGGGCTAACAGAAAAGCTTACGGTTGGAATTTCTGTTGTAAATGAGAAAGTTAAATCTGTTGATCAAAGGCTTCAAGTGTCAGATAAAACGATGGCTGCAGTTATGGCAGCAGAACGGAAATTGAATGACACAGGATCAGCAGTCAAATCAAGCAGGTCTGGATGCTTTAAAAATGTCTGTGATTCAAGTCTGTTTTTTAACAATGCAGTTTTCTGTACTTGTTGCTGCAGTTGGTTCTTAGAATTTCTAGAATATTACCTGCTCTCTTTTGTCCCTATCCGCTTCTATCTATTGAGATAATCTTCTAAGAGAATCTTGCATGCTGTTAAGTGGCTATATGAGCTGAATTATCCTATATATTGAAGTAGAGAAAGGAAGGGAAAGTTTCAAAGTTCTATACTCTTGTTTGATTTGTTAAAAGAAGAGGAATTAAAGCAAAAAGGATGACCAGTTTTCCCCTTGGGGCCACTTATTTAAACCGAGACTTTGAGAGAAGGAATAGCACATATTTTCTTTTCCTTGCAACATTCTGATCGAAGTAAAGAAAAGAAAGAAAATGGAGTCCTTTCACATTCCATGTTTTTCCTCTTTATCATTTCCCTTTATGTACTCGGGTTTACACCTTATCTCATCGAACAGCAGAATTAAATTGCTTTATAGGATGTTTCTTGTTGATTGAACTTCTGAGAGAGTATTTGGCATTGAAATATTTTTTCTCATTGAACAGAAGATTAGATTGCTTTATGATCAATGTTGAACTGAATGACTTGTTGATTTGACATCTGAGAGAGCATTGGGCATAGAATCATTTTTGTTTTTATTTTTTTGAATAATTTCGAGTTTCATCACCCTGTTTGCTGCTCCATTTTATGCAATATCTAGTATGCGGCCTCACAACATCTCCTTAAACATTTCCAAACTATTCATAAATTGTGGGTCCTGCTATCATCATCAATAGCTTTCCATTGGATAATTAAAATGAATATTTTCAACTTTTACGTTCTGCATAACTTGAGCTACTGATCCATTAAGTTGAAGTTGAAAATTAGGCATGTTGCTCCTACTCGCTGAAGAAGTATTAAAGTTCAAAAACTTCAGTTGGTTGAGGAGGCAAAGATTATCTTGATTTCATCTTTTTAATGAGCAACTTATAATGTGTATGGCCACTCATTCTGCGTCCATTGTGCATTTTTCTTTAAAAGGAGAGAGACCAAGTACAGTGCATCTCCGAAGTAAAGATGGAATGAGGGGGAGAACAACCATGCTTTAAGATAGAATGTGCATGACCACTCACTTTGGTTTAAGCACTTGTACTCTAGCAAGCGAGCTAGCAAGCACAAAGTGTTATTATTATATTACTAAAGCTCTACATTTCCATTATTTTGGAGGTGATCTCAGGTATGTTAATGCTGGAGCTGCCTGGCTGAATGGTGCTTTCAGTAAAGTAGCTAAGGCAGGGCAAGTTGCTGGTACAAAAACGAGAGAAAAATGGAATTTTGCGTTGTCAAATTTGACAGCAAAGGTATGCTCTTCCTCACTTCTCTTTTCTCCCCAATGTATCTCTAAGTCTACCTTTTGACTTCTATCTATCAATTTGTATTCATTATTCTATTTGGCGTAGGTCACTAACGATGATAGAATAACAGATGAAAAGAAATATTACGATAGGTGGGATTAAAAAAATGAGTACCTTCAGCAAGAATCATGCTGCTACATATGCTCTTTGGTGCCCCCAAAAAAATTAAGGAAGGTTGTTTTTGTTATACTATTCTGGCTAAAATTTATGGCCAGTAAAAATGTAAAAGTAAAACAAAACGAAGTGCAGGAAATCTGTTACTTGACATGCCTCTTTCATGTAACCAGAGGAAGAAATGAGAGAACAATTAGACTCTACGCAAGTCAGTAAAGAGCATATTTCTTAGACAACCTAAATACTTTTGCTTGGTAGGAATGTCTCTGTAACATTTTAAAATATAAACTCACAAAGTGCTATCCTGAACAGTTGCACCATGTTGGATGGCAAAGTGCTCCCCCGCCCCTCTGCCATTTCTTTCTTTTGTATTTTTCCTGAAATACTGAAACTGAAGTTCCGTCTTGCAGGATCCTTCTATTGTTGCCTAGATCATAGACGAATGTATATTGGAGTTGCTAAGTTGCCTCTGTCGAATAGCTTGGGATTCCAAATACTATTTCCTTGCACATCTAGAAATTGGGATCTGGTATGCAGATTGCAGATCGTCTGTGTCAAATTCAAGCAAGTTTCATCTGTGATGTGATTTTTCTGATAGTTAATTTTTCTTCCCATTTTATTGTGGAATGTGGAGTGGTGTGGTGTGGTGTGGTGAATACAACTATACGAGATTATGTAATTCTTTTGTTTGTAAGCCTTCAAATTCACGATAGTTAGGAGCTTGTATTGATATCATATCTTTCTTGGTGAGGCTGAATTTTATTAGAGAGATTTCAGACTCTTGATGTTTATATTACGATGACATCCAGCATATATTCCACTCTTAGATAAGTTTATTCATATTAATCATTTCATGTTGTTGGTCAATTTACGAAAAATTAAACATTCCTACAGACTATTACGAATTTATCTTCTAAATAAGAAATTATTTTTGTAATATAATAATCAACTGTAAATGCATTTCTATTTTTGTAATTATTTTTTATTCTTTCCTTCCTGTTTATTAGAAAAAGAGCTTACAAATATTAATAGTATTAATAATAGTATATATACTGATGCAGGTTACTAGGTACCTTGTGAAAAGACCCCGTAATGTATTACTATGTACATGTTTTGTCACAATTTGACATGGTACATTATCTAAATTGAATTGAGCAAAATAGCATGTGAACCGTAATTATGTATTTACTACAAAACATAAAGTATGCATGCAATTGCAATTGATTATACATCTCCCAGCCATCTCCTCACTCACACACCCCCAAAAACCAAGAAAAAAAAAATCCTCATTTCTTTCCCAATTTAACGTTATATTCATTGGTTTGTGGGGGGCATCTTTTGTTTCTACATTGTTACTGTTCATCAATATGGTCAAGATTTTGATATTCTGAGCAATATATATCTTATGTTTTGATGGGGAATACATGCTCCGGACCTACTTTGAACAAAGATTCAGCAGATTCATCAAAGACAGATGGAAAAGGTTCTGATTCTAATAATGTCCAGAACACCCCTCCTCCACATCTTCAGATACCTGGAGATCAGGATGAAAAATCAAAAAATTCCCAAAACGGTGACGACATTGTCGTGGAAGATGTCAAAAGAAATAAGTCTAGTAATCTGAAGCGAGTAATGAGTGCAGGCCTCCAAGTTGATACTGTTTTAGGACGAAAAACCGGAAATTTGAAAGATATTTATACTTTAGGAAGGAAATTAGGACAAGGACAATTTGGGACAACCTTTTTGTGTGTAGACAAAGCTCAACCAAAAGAATTTGCATGTAAATCAATTGCTAAAAGGAAGTTGACGACTGAAGAAGATGTCGAGGATGTAAGGAGGGAGATTCAGATAATGCATCACTTGGCAGGCCACCCTAGTGTTGTACAGATTGTTGGGGCTTATGAGGATGCTGTTGCTGTTCATGTTGTAATGGAGCTCTGTGCTGGTGGTGAACTTTTCGATAGGATTATAAAGAGAGGCCATTATTCTGAGAAGAAGGCTGCTGAACTTGCAAGAGTAATAGTAGGTGTTGTAGAAGCATGTCATTCACTCGGTGTTATGCACAGGGACCTCAAGCCTGAGAACTTCCTTTTTGTCAATGAGAAAGAGGAGTCCTCATTGAAGACCATCGACTTTGGATTATCTGTCTTCTTTAGACCAGGTACATTTAAATATAATTGTTCAACTTTCATGATCTGTTAGATACATAAGTAGAGCGATCTTTTGCATCCAGGTGAAACATTCACAGATGTGGTTGGAAGCCCTTACTATGTAGCACCAGAAGTCCTGCGAAAGCGTTATGGTCCAGAATGTGATATTTGGAGTGCTGGAGTAATAATTTATATACTTCTTAGCGGTGTGCCTCCATTTTGGGATGGTGAGATTTTATTTCTACAATTCTAAGCTACCATCATATTGACCATGATGCCTAATGCACGTTGATGTTTTTCTATCAGAAACTGAGCAAGGAATATTTGAACAGATTGTAAAAGGGGAACTTGACTTAGTATCCGAACCTTGGCCAGCTATATCAGAAAGTGCCAAAGATCTAGTCAGAAAAATGCTTGTGAGGGAACCCAAAAAGCGGTTGACAGCTCACGAAGTTCTCTGTAAGATCTATCTCCAATCCTTTGTTCTCCTGACATCCTTTTCTATTTTTGAGTGTTTGGCTTGATACTTCTCATCCTTTATTCTCTGTGTTAATATGGTTATGCAGTCTGCTGTTTGACATACTTCTTAAATCATTTCTTAGTGTTGAACATGATTAAGGTTGTGCTATTTGTTGCAGAAATGTTCTTTTACCTATTAACCTCTTTTTCTTTTTCTTCCTTTTTTCCAATGTGAGATGAAGAGAGGCAGATAAAGTTCTAATGAGAGAAACGGTAGATGTCAAAAGAAAAATGTATTGAACACTGGATCTCGAGAGCAGTCACAGTTTAGTAGCTTTTTCTCATTGTAGCATCCACAGAACTGTGGAGCAAGATATAGGCGATTCGCATGAGATAGAAAATAAAGTGAATTATAAAAATCAATATTTACTTGTACACTGCAAAGTATAAGTTTACTTAAAGGAAGAAGAATGATGGACCGAAGAACAACTCCTCTCAAGCTAACGTTTGTGAGACTTTGTTTTTAGTCTGCATTTTTTCCGAATTGTTGACAGGTTGGGATACATTATTGCAAGGCCTATGCTCCTAACAACGGTATCTGTATCATTAGCTAAGATATTGTGGAATATGAGGAAGGTTCTGGGCTTCTACTTGAGCTTTTGTGATGGATAGGTTAACAGAGATTCTGACCTTTTATTTGAGCTTCTTTGATGGATTGATGAACAGAGACTGTGATATATATAGGGAAGATGTAATTGTAAAAACATTAACGAATTGATAGAAAAAAAACAGATAAGTCCATTTGTCTGTCTTTACATTTGGTTAAGAGTTCATTTGAATGCTCTTTGACTTGCAAGAAAAACTGTTTATTGTCTATTTCAGGTCACCCATGGGTCCGTGTAGGTGGAGTTGCTCCAGATAAGCCTCTTGATTCTGCTGTTCTTTCTCGTCTCAATCAATTTTCTGCAATGAATAAATTAAAGAAGATAGCAATCAGAGTAAGTTGTTTCAACTCTCGACACATTTGATCACTGATCTTAATGTAGTAGCACTATCTCTTATTTTGACGATAGAGAATCTTGAGTAGAAACAATGTGAGAACTATATCTATTCTAAATTGGGAAGTGGAAAGGCTATCTTCTAGTAATCCTCCATTTCTCCGTAGTGATTTTGAAATGAGGAGCAGGAAAAGGATACCCTTGCATGTTACTGTTATCAACTATAACTAGGTTTTATATTACTCCTCGAGGTAGTGTTAAGTTCTGCGTGCACTCTACCCTCTCAGACCCCACTTTGTGGGATTTCACTGGGTATGTTGTTGTTGCTGCTGTTGTATAGGTTTAGTATTATTATGCTTGACCAAGTACAGCTGTTTTGTTTAGGTTATTGCTGAAAATCTGTCTGGAGAGGAAATTGCAGGATTAAAGCAAATGTTCAAAATGATAGACGCAGATAACAGTGGACATATTACACTGGAGGAACTGAAAAAGGGTTTAGAAAAAGTTGGTTCCAAACTTAAGGATTCAGAAATAAACAGTTTAATGCAAGCGGTATGTAGAAGTTCCTTTTTCATTTTTGGTTTTTACCTTTTGTGTTCGATAACTTCCCTACTTTCTTTGACTCAGTATAACCTATTTTTTCCAAGGCATACTCAAAACCAAATCCAAACAATCACAGTTGTTTTCTGTTAATAAAAGCAAGACCAGAATAAAACAAAGGTGTTCCTTATTCAATGGCACTGTAACATCAGAAATATTGATCTCTTAGTTGCATTATATAATGAAATTAGCAAAATCATATATATTAGTATTGAGTCGAGTACTCCAAACTTTTTATTAGAGGTTCTACAGCATATTACATATAAATCTCTTACGTGGTTGCTAAGACCAAAATAGAGAGATCCCTCTTACACAGAAGAGCTCTGCCTTTGCCGATTAGGACCAGATAACTGGTAAATAGAATCAAGAGCCTCTACTGTGAATGTTTAGAAACTTAGACTAAGAATACTACCAGAATAGTTATGTGAGATGTTTCTGGCTTCTGTCTTTCAGCTTCTTTGCTATAGTCTTTAACTGGAACAATCATATCTTGTATACAATACACCATCAAGTCTGATCCTTATTAAATAGCCTTCTCCATGGAAAAATGCAGGCAGATATGGATAATAGTGGTACCATTGACTATGGAGAGTTTATCGCTGCTATGCTTCATCTAAACAAAGTCCAGAAGGAGGATCATATGTATGCCGCTTTTTCATATTTTGATCAAGATGGTAGTGGATATATCACACAAGAAGAGCTCCAAAAGGCTTGTGAGAAGTTTGGTTTGAGCAATATTCCCATGGAAGAACTTATGCGTGAAGTCGATCAGGATAATGTATACTCGTCATTCTAATCAAAATTTTATTTCTAATATCATGAAAATACATAGGATGCATGATTAATTGTAGGAACATAAATAAGAACATGACCATAATTATTGGGGAATAAAGAATGATCAAACTTCAAACTAATTAGCTTCATATTCTTATTCTTTCTCCAGGATGGGCGCATTGACTACAATGAATTTGTAGCAATGATGCAGGATACTGGTTTTGGTAAGAATGGCAACAAGAGAGTGTGAGCATTGGCATCCCAGAGGCCTTAGAACCTGGTAAAACTTGATAGCAATCCTACCATATTAGCATCATCATTACATAACATACACTTTTGTTTGCATAAATCTGTAAATATTACTGCTAATTCTTGTGTTCCATCTTATATAATCCTGGGCATCTTAATTTTTTAGGCTTGCTTGGTCCTTTGATCACAAAATTACTGCAGATATCATGGAAGCAGATTAGAACCTGTGTTTCTTTCAATCTTCAGTGCCTACTGCTTTGCATAAAAAATGCATTTTCTGCAGAAGTAATGTGTGATTCCAAGTCCAATGCTATTCTTCTTACCTTTTGGTGTAGTCACAATATCCGTTCTGTACCCTCGTTTCACCTAATTAGATTATTTTGATGTGTACTACATTCATATCTTTGATGAAATTTGATGTACATTACATTTTTTTCTCTTGTTAAAATTACATTACATTAATGAGTAGTGGCTTCTCTCTTTTGATATATCATCAGCGTTGTGTTGTTATGTCATCCCCCTTCTCCTAAACTGCTACCTGAAAATGAGTAAAAAAACCAGTTTCTGCACTGCCATACCGGCCTTGGCAATGATTTTTAGTTTTGAGTCATTGCTTCCAATTTCTGTTATTTTTAAAGCTTATTAGACCTCTTGCTGTTATCAGCAAGGGTCATAATGTGACGAGAATGGACTTCTCTGTAATGTAATAGAAATGCAGAGTTTGAGTTGAAAAATAGATGAAGACAAATTTGAAATGGCCAGTACATCAGTATGAATTGAGCTTATTACTATCAAAAACTTTAAACCAACTAAATGAATTGTTTGTCATTATGCAACATCTTTTTCATATAATTTTTAAAAGGTATGAACAACAAATTTCCAAAAACATACACGATTCTATCTGCAACTGGTGCAAAGCATGTTGATAAACAAAGAAATTGATTGAAGATTCTCCTTTATATATCACTCCAGATAAGAAGATAATGTAATACAACAATAGTAGCAAATGTGCAATCTGAATGCTGCCAAAAGCAAAGGAGAAAATGTAACTGTTTTATCAAGAAACTTATACAAACACGTCAAATTCAGGGCTGCAAGGGGTAAAGATGATAACCATATGAAGGAGTTATACATGCTTTTGTTCACTGTATACTTTCTTTTGAATTTTTACTTCTCTGAATCTCCATCCACTAAATTAATTTGAGGATGACTAAGAGATAGGCTAAGAATTGTACGTGGTTTTTGCACTGGGACAAGAATCATCACAACAGATATCTAACAACTACAGCAAAAAGTGTAATTTACAGACCGAGCCTCTTGGGTCGTAAATAAGTAGTTGAGCCTTTCTTCAACCCAGGCATAGAAACCTGTTGCAGTTCTTTTGCTCTCTTTTCCTTCTCCTTCTCCTTGTTTCGTCTGTCAGCTTCAGCCTGTACTTTACGCAACTTCTCCATTTCTTCCTCCATGGCAGTTTTCTCCTCTTTCTGTTTCTTTTTATGTTCCAGCATTGATGTATCAGAATCTTTCACGGAGAAAAACATGGGCCCCAGTTCAGCCAACCAGTGAGGCTCCACAGCTGTCACACACTGCATGTACTCCTTTGATGTCAAGATAAGCTCATGATAAACCACGTTATCAGGAGTGTAACCCAATCCATAGAGAGCACTAGTGGGATGAAGGTGGCAAGGCATTCCATTCCTGCAATTAACATATTCCCCAACTCCTTTCAGCCTAGCTGCATTATGGAAGTACGCAGAGCAGATGGCTTTCCTTACAACATCCCAATCAGGACCACAGGAAGTGAGTGGAATTTTAAGTGTCTTGAGGATATCCAGCAATTGAGACCTTACTTCCCTAGCCTTGCGTAAACCTTTGACCTGTAAATAGTGGTCATTACACCAGTCCCCTCTGTATTGATTAGCTTTCCATTGCTGGTAAACATTAAGCAGTGTAAGGTGATCAGATTCTGGCACAAAAAACTTTTCCCTAGCAGCATCACTTTCCTCAGCCCTATCCTTGGGTCTAAAGAAAACAGAAGGCACTGAAAGCATAGAAACAATAGTCAGAACCTCATTTAAACATTCTAGTTGTTCTCCCATCAAGAGCATTTTGGCAAGGGGAGGATCCAATGGGAACTCCACCATTTTCCAGCCAAGGCTTGTTAAATCCCCAACATTGTTAAGTGCACCTAATACCCACAACTGATACATGGAGTTAAGGATGTTATCCTGAGGAGGTGGGTCCATAAAATCAAAATCCAACAGGTTCTGAATTTTGAGAGACTTGAGCAGCAAAACCACATTCCCAAGATTTGTCCGTTGAATCTCTGGCACGGGACTTTGCAGCATTTCATTCTCATACGCATTCTCAGTATAAAGCCGGTAACAAGTTCCTGGGCCAGTTCTACCAGCTCGACCAGCACGCTGGTCAGCTGCAGCTCGACTAATAGGGAACACTTGCAGAGCATCCATACCCATACGAGGATTGTACACCTTCATTTTACCATAGCCTGTATCAATGACGTAGTAAATTCCATCGACAGTCAAGGATGTTTCTGCAATATTAGTAGCAACTATGCATTTTCGAGCCCCGTCTTCAGCTTTCTGGAATATTTTTGCTTGCAAATCAGCGGGCAGTTGAGAGTATATAGGAAGAATCAATAGATTGGGCACTGCTTGCTTTGTTGACGAGGTAAGCTGTTCCATGCGCTCTGAAAGTGCATAACAGGTAGCTTCAATCTCATCCTGACCAGTCATGAAGATGAGTATATCACCCGGTGCACTAGTAATATGGATGGTCATGGCTTGCTTAACTGCAGCTTCGACATAATCTTCACATGGGGTTTTACTATACAATTTATTTACTGGAAAGGTTCTTCCAGGTATGTGAAATATTGGTACGCTGCAATAAAGAGACACGGGGTTATGTGAAGTGGAAAATCGATCAAAAGCTAACACATACAATATCCTTGTACAGCTATCCAATAAAAAAACCTACCTCCCAAAAAAGTTAGAGAACTTCTGGGCATTCAGAGTTGCAGAAGTGACAATAAGCTTAAAATCACGTCGCCTAGCCACAACTTTCTTAAGAATGCCAAAAAGGACATCAGTGTTGAGTGATCTCTCATGGGCCTCATCCATTACAATTACACTGCGAAAAAGAGATATTTGAGTGACTGCACTACATAAAGAAAGCAGAAAGTTGACCATCCAGGAAATCAAACATAAAAGCTTATAAAAGCATATAAAGAGTGGGACAATACCGATATTTTTCAAGATCAGGATCTTTGAGTGTTTCCCTTAGAAGAACACCATCAGTCATGTACTGCACAAGGAAATATACACATATAAGCTCACACCTTGCGAGTAGACTCATCTCTCATATGGTCAAAAAACACACCTTGATAACAGTTGTTGGCCCAGTGACATCTTCAAAACGAATGGCATATCCAACTTTATCACCAAGCTCGGTTTCCATTTCTTCACTGACTCTTTTTGCAACACTCATGGCTGCCACACGCCTGGGTTGGGTGCAACCAACAATCCCGTTACTTGTATAGCCATCTTCATGAAGGTACTGCATGAAATTACAGACACACATACAAATAAGACCCAGGACCGTATAAAGATTCAACAGATTCTAGTTAAGATTTAAAAGATGATTTAGAAAAAGAAAACACAAGTCTAAGCCAACCTGAGTTAGCTGTGTTGTCTTTCCAGAACCAGTTTCTCCAACAACCACCACCACCTGGTTTTCGCGAACCACCTGTTCCCAAAAGAAAAAACCAAAAAAATCATTCAATGAAGAAACACAGCAGTGCCAAAGGGTATGACTAGCACCGGCAAACAAGCAGGTAAGTTGAATATGAGTCGATCGAAAATGAGTTAAATAAAAATGGGTAAATATTCGACTCGACTCATATTTTAAATGGGTAAAAACGAGTTACCCAATGGATAATATGGGTATCCATATTTACCCATAGTATTATAGGGATCATGTTAAAAGCTTTAAAAGCAAAATCTCTAACCTCACTCTTCACCCTCCGCACCCCCACCCCATAGCCCAACGCCTCAAAAGTTACTTTTTTTTTTAATTTGTTTTTCTGAAAAATAATAAATTTATTTTTTTCTACTTCACACCACCCTTCCCACCACTACCGCACCCCCTCCCAAAAAAATTGTTTTTCAAAAAAAATATTGATTTTTTCCTTATCCCACCCATCCCTATCCCGACCACTACACCTTAAAAAAATATTAATGTGGCTCTTCTTTCTTTTGTAAATGAGTCCCTTTTACCCATTTTCCGACGAACTTTTAAATGGTTTATATGAGTTTGACTCGCTTTTTTCCCATTTTAAATGAGTTGGGTACCCAACTTATTTAAGATGGGTACTTTGAATGGGTACCCATATATATTACCCATTTTTCCATCCCTAGATATGACCTGGGGATCAACGAAGTGGGTTGAGAACCATGAGATCTCAGGTTCAAAAGCCAACGGAGACAAAACACTAGGTGATATCTTCTTTAGTGATAGATTACTCGGTACTTGTGTTGGTAGGAGGTAGCAAGCACCCCATGGAATTAGATGGCCTGGACACCATGGTTATAAAAAAACCATTAAGAGTAAACGTTGTTTTTCACAAGTAAATATTTGGTGAATTTATCCCAAGGAAAAGGACACCAATAGACTTTAAGAAAGCAGCTTAGCATCTAATTTGTATGCAGAGCTCCAAGTCCTAATTACGGCACATCAGGTCAATTTTACCATTTAACTAATTCCAATGAAGTTCAAAGTAAAAGTTTCTAGATATGTGTTAAGGTGGATAACAGGTTCAGTAACTCATTTTTATTAGGTTTACATACTTCGCTGTATGTGGCACCTACATGTCTTCACAGACATGAAAAGCCAATCAGCAGGTACAGTAACTCATCATTCAATAAACTCCCCAGAGTATCAGAATGAGAAAATGGGTCAAACCTGCAATAAATCATCTCGCACAGAGAAGATGGGCAGATACTGCCTTTGCTGTGAAAGTGTTTTTGATAATGCAAAATCACTGACAGCTTCCCCTTTCTTTAAGTGCTGTGAGAATCTAGCTTCTCCTTTAAAATCAACCTCTCCATCCTCGCCCACTGTAGCAGTATCCGCATCAACCTAGCATAAGGTGAAAGGGAATCCCGGTTATATCGTCTACAACCTGAAACACACCAGATTAACACAGTATGTTCAATTTCATGGAAACATAAGGTACCTGCTCTGCACTCTTCTCAACACCAAGGATATCTCCGAGTTTTGAACCAGCCAGCTCCCAAAATCTTTGTCGAGACTTGTGCATGTTTTGTTTTTCACGTATTTCCCGAACTAGAGCTGAGCCTTTACGTGAAATTATGGCCATATCTGAAGTTGGGTCCTTTATTGGCATTATCGGCTCAGCTTGCTTGGTGAAAACAATTCTTCCATCCAAAAAGGGAGGCTTTGTATCTGT